CTCCTCGTGCCCTGGCTTGAAAGTAAGTGTTCCAAGTCATTCTGCTTGCTCCGCAGCTCAGCGAGTCAGTGCTGCTGCTGCGGCAGAAATAAATACCACAAGTGGGCGGCTGTCACAAGCAGAAATTTGTTTTCTCACAGTCTGGGAGACTAGTAGTCTGCACTCGGAGTGCAGGACCTAGGGCAGGGGTCAGCAAACTTTTGAGACCAAGAACCAATTGAAAAATTAACTGAGAGCCATAACTATAGTTTTACAAATGAATGGAACCACCAATATCTGAGTAATATCCTTTAAAAACTTCCAGTTGTACTGCAGAGGCATGTGTATGTACGGAAGGAGCCACATCGGCTCCAGAGCCACCGTTTGCCGACCCGAGGGCTGGGGGAAGGCAGGCCTCTGCGTGGGCTTCGAAGGAAGGTCCCCGTCTCTTCCTAACAGCTGCTCTGAGCAGTCCTCACGTGGCTTCGTGTTCTCTCATCTCTGTCCACTGGGCTGCTTGTTTGAGTCAAGCCACGTGCTACACTGTTCCACATAACAAAGACAGCGTTTCCTGGTGGGGTTACAACCACAGGCATAGAGGTCCGGATTCACCGCACCTATTTTGGGAGGACACCGTTGGGTCCGTAATGCCTGTTTCTTGACTCGTGGCTCCTTCCTGGGCCGGGTGTGCTGGCCTTCCTCCTGGGGGGTGAGTCCGTCTGGGGTCTGTCAGGGTCCCGTGAGCGCAGCCTCTCAGAGATGGTTTCCATCACAGCATCAGATACTCCCGGGCGTGCTGCCACCCTGCAAGACAGTCTGCTTGCTGCTTGCAGGAGCTTCTAGTTTTCACCTTGGGACTCATTTTTAAAAAAAATTAATTATTTTTTGTGTGTTTTTAATTTCCCTCACCGCTGGGGGTGGTGTCGGCGATGGTGGTGTTGGATGATCCAGGCCGGGAACTGAGGGGTTTGTAACACACACAAGGAGGCAGCAACATGCTGGTGGGCAAAGGGAATGAAGCCGTCATGGGATTTTCTCCCACAAGAGTTGGATGCCATCATTTCCTTCATCACGTGGCCCATCAGCATTTCTGGGATACAATCTCACTGAAACCAGATTGCCGCATCTTTCTCCCCCACAGAGTCACCAGGTGGATTTGAACCACCAGCCTCACATAACCACCAGCCTCACATAACCACCAGCCTCACATTGTACCACCGTCCCCAGAAAAGTAGCAGGTTGGGGCTTGCTCCGACGCAGGCCTGGAGTTACCTTTCTGACAGGTGATTCTTCACACTCCCTGCATCTTTCCCAGGCCAGTGACTAGGGTTTTTCAGTTTGTGGTTTGTGACAGGGCAGGGGCCCACCGTGTTGCTCAGGCCTGAGGCTCATGAGTGCTGGGAGGGCCCTGCCGAGCCCGCCCTCAGCCCTCGGGCCTGCACTCCGGTTCTGCTTTGGCCTGCGGCCTGCTCTGACTTCTGAGTGAGCTCATTCAGTTGTGGAATGATTTCCTCTTCCTTTCTGCCCCCTCGGCTTTCCCTTTACAGCTCATAGTTTGGGCTACATATTCAACACTCAGACTCAGATGATTTCCTATCCAGCGTTTCTATTTGTCTAGCGTAAGAAGGGCATTCTTTCTGGGTCAGCGAGGTCTACACTATCATCCTGAAGTGTGGGCACCGTTTTCTCTTCCTGCCTGCCTCTAGGGTCTTAGAATTGGGCTTGCGTTTTATATGCACACCCTCCTTTAGGACCTTTAACCATGTATATTTCATTTTGTGTGCTTCCGAATTACTAAATTAACCTAAAGTTAGTAATTCTCTGTACATGACCCTAAACTAAGGCCCTTCGGGCACAGACATAGCCCCTAGGGTGAGGGTGGGAAGGTCTCTTGGCCTGAGACCCCAGAAACCTGCCTGACACCCCCTGACCTCCCCGGCCCCTCCCCCACCCTGGGTCAAACATCTTGAGGCTACTTAGCGCTTCCAGGTGTTTAAATACCTAGTCACCAGCCACCTCTTGAAGGACGCCTGGTGGCCAGTAGGCTGCCAGCAGCAAGGCCAGTGGTTCAAGACCACCAGCCACTCCACAGGCGGAGGAAGAGGCTGTCTGCTGCTGAACCATTACACGCTCGGTAACCCAAGGGTGTCGTTCGATTCTGCCCCGAGGACTGCTAGGAGGCGGAATCGACTCAGTGGTGGTGGTGGGGGCCCCATCTTATCAATGCCCAATACCAAGACTCACAGGGTCCGCATGAGAGACTTATTTTCCTCCCCCTACGAAATGACTGATGTTGGGCGGGGGAGGGTGTAGTAAACCTGTAATAAACCAACACATGGTCTGATCCCCAATTACTTCATTGTAAGTTTCCACCATCAAACCATGTCAGCCGCCTGCTGTTTGTCGGGGCAACAGGAGAGAAGTTCAAAACCAAACCCACCCGAGCTTTCATTGAGCGGTTCACGGCTATGACTCTTCCATTCTCCTCTCCCCTTCCTCGAGCATCCGGTCTGGGATGGTTCACACACACCTGCAGCCCTAAATCACCAACCGGAGTGGCCCACAGAGCTTAGGGGCTGGGAGGGGCAAAGGGCGGGTGGTGGGTGTGCATACGTGCTTCCTCCTGATCTGTCCATTTGTCAAGGAGCTGCAGTCGGGGCCTCCCCTCAGCCCCTCCTCCAGCTGGAAATGTAATTTCCATGCAGCAATGAAAAGTTTGGGTGGCCCGGCGTGTTGCGTAAGCCCGATCTGGTCTGTGTACGCACAAGGTGTCTGTGAAGATGTTGGAGAAGGAGGGGGGCTATGATACCGGGAAAGGCCGGTTCAGGAAGCTCCTAGCGGCTGCCCTCCATCTGGAGAGGGTGGTGACTTTATGGAAGTGTTCTGGATTATGTGCAGAGCCCTGTGGTTGTGACTTTGGAGGATGGAGCAGGGGCTGTGGGCCCCATAAAGAAATGGAATGGTCTCTTGCAACTAGTCAAAGGTTGGCTCTTGCAGGGAGAGGTGGGGAGCCTGTCCTGACTTGCACTGCCGCAGCTTCTTTGGCAGGGTCCCCCAAGCAGTTGTTCAGCTTGTTTGCCTTCCCGCTGCAAACAGCTTGGCTTGGACTATAAATGCCTTTCCACCCTCTGGGCCTCAGTTAGTGCTTGTTCTTCCCCTTCCATCTGTGAGATGGCTTCTTTAATGCAGCCCCTGCGAGCCTGCAGGGTCTGCTCCTGCAGCTTCCCCAGCTCCGGCTTAGCCAGCTCTCTGCCCTTGCTGGCTGCAGCCTCCCTGTCCTGCTGAGCCCAGGGGCTCTCTGTGCCCCCGGCTGCCTCAGGACTCTTGCCTGTGCTTAGCCCTCTGCCTGGAACACCTCTGTCCTCCGCATTTTCCCGGTGAACCATTCATTCCTGTAACAGTGGCAAGCCTCTCTATTTCATCAGCTATATCACAGCACTGACCTATGAGGCGGAAACCACGAGGACTGCCATTGGGTCTATCTTTGCCCCAGGAGTGGGGTCATTTGGGATCCCCTCTTCAGACTGGAGAGAACACTGCTGGCACAGGGGTTAAGTGCTCAGCTGCGTAACTGAACAGTTGGCGTTTGAGCCAACCAGCTGCTCCACGGTGGAGGGAGGTGGGGTTAGAGATGTGGCAGCCTGGTTCTCTAATGATTTACAGCCTCAGGAACCCTGTGGAGCAGGTCTACACTGTCCCACGGGGTGGCTGGGTGTCTAAACCCACGCAACAATAGTAGGTTTTTCTGCAGACTGAGGGGAATCTCCCAGGATTTCAGGAGGAAGACATGGCCGTGACCTGCTATTGAAGTGCAGTGCTCCCTTCTCAACAAATCTGCAGGGGCCACTGCTCCAGGATTGCTGCTGGGTTGCTTGTAGTTGCTGTCTCTGTACATGGCTCCAGAAACCAGGAGGGCTTCATCGTTTCTACCCATGTAGCACGGCATCACTGACTGGTCCCTCCGGGGTCTGATGTGTGTGTGGGGTCATCAGGAGAGCTGCTCTGAGGTGCCTGGTTCAATGAACCACATGTCACACTTCCCTCAGCTATGCCCCCCTTCTTCAGCCCCTGGAGAGCCTCTCTCTCTCTGCTCTGCCCCGGCTGCATCCACAGCTCTGGTCCCACAGACCTCTCAGGGCGCCCACCACGACTATTTTGTTTTTCCCCCCTAAAATATAAAGATTTCGTTATTTACAAATTTATTTTAACATTTATTTTCCCTTTCTGCCTATTTTTTTTATTAATCATTTTATTGGGGACTCTGGAAAATCTTATAGCAATCCATCATTCAATTGTATTAAACACACTGGTACATATGTTGCCATCAACATTTCCAAAAACATTTTCTTTCTACTTGACCCCTTGGTATCAGCTCTCTTCCTCTCCCCACCCCCCCATGAATCCTTAATCAATTGTATATCATTGTTGTTATTTTGTGTCTTACACTGCCCGTTGTCTCCCTTCACCCACCACCAGGATTCTTTTGTGATGTCTTCCTCTAAACACTACAGCCTACTGTGATCTCCATAGAACATTCTCTCTATGCCAGAGAAATCATTATCCCCACCATGTATGTGTCTAGCCATTCACGGAGCACTTGCTCTATGCTGTCTTGCATAGATATATATGCATATGGTTCAGACCTTTAACAGGCTCAGCTGCTAACTGGAAGGTTGGAGGGTCAAGGACTCAGAGGCTCCTTGGAAGAGAGGTCTAGCAGTCTGCTGCTGACTAGTTAACCACTTCAAACTTGGGAGCACAGTTTTACTGCTGTCACACACTTGTGGTCACCCGGGTCGGAGTCAACTCACCACTGATGGGTGGGGTCTTGCCTGCAGCGGACCCTGGACGTTTGCAGAATAGGGACGGTCTTTATCTTTATGCTCCCGCAGCCGTGTCCCAGGGGCATGTTGTAGGTGCTGCACACATATTGAATGGATCCCAGGGCCTCTGCGAGGGCTTGCTGACACACCATCTAGAGACGGCAATGGAGAAGTGACTCTCCTCTTCTTTCTCTCCAGTTACAAGTTATTTCCAAACTGCGTCCCGTCCTTTGGTTTCCGCCATCTGCTGCCTCTTACAGACAGAGTGGACAGCTTCAACGAGGAAGTGCGCAAACAGAGGGTGTCCCGGAACCGAGATGCCCCCGAGGGGGGCTTTGACGCCATACTCCAGGCTGCTGTCTGCAAGGTAACCTTCCATTCTGGTCCTGCCTCGGGTGTTGGGTCCAGTGAGGGCGCTGGGCTTCCTGCAAGAAGAGGCAGACCTGGGTCACCCTCAGCCTGTGGCTGCCGTCACTGACACGCCCCGCGTGTGCTCTTTCAGTCTCAGGGTGTGGCTGTGTGTGCGCAGCGGCGTCTTTGCCAAAAGACAGCCAGTGGCTCTGTGTTGATGGACTTAGCTTTTCTTTTTTTCCCCTTACCTCTTTCCAGGGGAGGGCAAGGAAATGTCGAGCACTGTGACTAGGCACTTGTACAGTCTCCTGACCTGCGTAGGGCCAACCTTCAAGATCATGCCTGCATCACTGGGCTGGGGCTCCGGCAGAGCTGGGGAGCATCGCGCTGTCATCTCTGGGTGCACGCCTACTGATTGGTTTTCTCTGCATGCTTGTGACCTATGACCCCAGAGGGAGGTCTGAAATGAACTCATGCTTTGAGAGGTCCCGGTGGCAGCAGAGTGTCGAAAGGGAAGGTGGGGAATCACGTACTCCTTACAGAACCTTCTGCTGCCCAAACAAGCCGAGGCCACCACTGCCGGGTAAAAACTTCTGAATTTCCGCCCCAACCGGCCACGCATGTTATCTTTGTAGGCGTTGTGCCACGTTCTCGGGGCTTCGGCAGTTCCAGAGGCCGGTAGGACATCTCCTGTGTGGTTGAGGAGGAGAAATGGGGGCGGAGGCGGTTAGTATTCGGTTTGGAGAGGCGGCCCATCTGAGGCTGCTCACCGCTGGCTAAGTGAAAACTACCCAGTCGCTCCAGTTCGTGGGTCCAGCCTTAGACCTGTAATCTCTGTGCCACGGATTCGCTTTTCCTCTGCTCGGTGGCTTGGCAGGCTGAGAGAACCCCAATGACCAGACTGAGAGGGACAGAAAACCCAAACCAACCCCAGTGCCCCGGGGTCAAGTCTGCCTCTCAGTGATCCGATAGGACAGGGCGGAGCAGCTCCTTAGGGGCTCTGAGCCTGTCCGTGTTCATGGAAGCTAATGGCCACAACTTCCTCCCACTGCGCAGCTGGTGGGTTTGAACCGCTGCCCTCCCAGTTAGTGGCAGAGCACTCAACCAGAGTGCCACCAGGGCTCCTTTTACCCCTGAGCCCCCAAACCCAACCTAACCCAGCCCACTGCATCCAGTCGATTCTGCCTCTGAGCCGCTCTGTCGAGCAGAGAACAATTCCTTAGGGATTCCAAGCCTGTGAATCTTTCAGGGGGCAGGCAGCCTCACCTCTCTCCTGAGGAGGGGTGGGTAGGCTTGAACCACTGAAATTAGTGGCACAATGATCCATCCACTGTGCCCCAGGGCTTCTCCGAGAGGGGTAAAGTGGAAGGAGAAATGTAAAGAAAGCAGAGTTTTCTCCTGCATCTCCTTTTCTTGGACCCTCTGCAGTTTTGCAACCGCTGTCCTGGGGTCCCACCTGGAGAGGAAGGTGGCGGTGGCCCCAGCCAGCATGGCTGCAGTGTGGCTGCTCCCCAGCTGCTGGCCAGAGCCAAGCTGTTGGCTTTAGAGGTCACTAATGCGTCTTAGCATCCCCCAAAAGCTAGGCGGGGCCTGGCTAGAAGCACACAGCTCTGAATCTTCACGAGTTAAGAGTGTAAACTTGCAGCTTCAGGAAGAAAGATGCAAGTAGGTATTGATTGCATGCGGAATTGTCTCCTCGGAAGTCTGACCAGATTGTGCCTCTGGGCCAACCCCAGTGTGCGGGGCAGACCTGAGAGGTCCTGCGACAGGCAGCTTTCTATTTGTTCTTGGAAGAAGGGAGTGGGGTGTAGGGGCGCAGGACATCTTTAAGGCTTTGGAGAAAGAACCCAATGATGGGCCTAGGTACTGCCCAGTTCTGTGACTTCTATTTAAATCGATGAAGCACAATTAACCAGATGAACCCGAACCACGCACCCCACCATCCTGGACCAGGGACAGCGATTCTCCTCCTTTGAAGCCAGATACGAGAAGGGCCCTCAAAAAATTCATGGGGAAATGCCATTATCCTTTAGTGACATTCCCGCCCCCTTCCCAAGCCCCAGGGACTCTTGGAGCCCCTCCACATTGGGAGATCCAAGCGCATGGAGGAGATGCCGGCAGGTTCCCGAAACTCATAGCCTAGCCCTGCCGTGTGAATTCTTGTTGGCAGGGAGGCACGTAGGAAGCATGTACGTCAGCCTCCCTCAGCCAGGTGCGGCTTGTTCTTCCCCGCCGCCCCCCCCCCACGACCCCTGCAACAGGGCACACCTGCCAACCTTACGGATTGCCTAGACGTGTGCGTGCAGCCGGTGAGCCCGCAGCTTCCCTGTGGCCGGCCCTTTCCCCTTGAGCTGCGCTGCCCCTGTGTCTATCATGGCGTGGTGATCTGTGCGACACAAGGTCACCTTGAGCGGGGGTGACTGCACCACAGCTGTCGATAACAAGAAGCCACATTGAGCGGTAGAGCACCCACCCTCCCACGCCACCCCAGCTGGGATGCCGGACGCGGCACCGCCAGCCCTGCGAGCAAAGCCCATGCAGCTCGGAATAGGAGACTGTTTCCCCGGGGAAGGAGGACACTGGAGAGGAAGGGGGAGCACGTGCAGTACAATGCTGTGTCCACCGCCAAACGGGAGAAGGAAAGAGGGAGAGAAGGGGAGGAGACGGAAGAGAAATACCGTAGACTTCCGTGCTATCCGTAGTTGTCTCTGGCAATCGGATTATGCACGCTTTTTCCTTTTTTATTTTTTAAACTAAATGTTCTATGATGACTTTCACGGGTTTAAAATTATATATATATATATTATAATATATATTTATTATCGTGAAATGTTTCAGACAGTCGTGAAAATGCCACCCCCACCCCCGACCCCCGAGCCCATCAGTCACCTTGTCGAAACATTGCTGACCCAGGTCTGATCTCGGTTCATTTGTGTGTACAACCACCCCTGGGCCCCAGGCTTTAGAGCAAATCCGGGTCGCGCCCGTAAGTAACTGACAGTTCGAGGGATAGAGGTTTGGTTTGTTTCTAAGTCGTTGTCCCGGGTTGACAGGCCTGCCATCTCCTGGGCTGGCATAGGGCCCGGCCGGACGCTCTGCTTCCTCTGCCCTCTGCCCTTGGAGAGAGATGGGCGCAGAGAGCAGGCCACAGGGAGCCTTTGTTCCGGCTTCCTTCTCATCCGGCTGCACCCAATATCAAGTCAAGGGATCTGGGGGTCGAGGGTAGTCACGGGACCACCGACTTGAAAGCCGCCCTCTGCTGCCTGCTCGTTGATGCTGGAAAGCTGTTCTCAAATAATGGAAAATGCTTCTGCCCCCGTGTGGGGTCTTGATCTGGACACTCCTGGTGGGGTGCCGGTTGTGAGTCTTTGAGAGGCAGTTGAACCCCTGTCACTCACGTGGGTACTTGGTCCAATGCCGTGTACTGGGCCGAGGCTAGAACATGGATTTCCAAACTTGCTTAGCCTATCAGCCCCTTTCAGAAAAGAGGTCAAAAGAAAACCATTCAGTGCCACCCCACCCTCGGCAATTAAAAACAAAGTGTAGGTATCTGCTTTTGCAGACCCTCTGGGTCATTCCAGTGCCCCCCAGGAAGCGCTGTCACCCACTTTGGGAAATCCTGGTCCAGAAGGAGAGAGCCCACTGCCTTGAATGTTCTGTCTTTACCCTGAAATCTAGTGCCGAGCCTTGACCAGACTGCTGGTTTGCCTCCTCACTGCTTAGACCTGTGCTTCTCAACCTTCCTGATGCCGCCACCCTTTCATACAGTTCCTCCTGTTGTGGGGACCCCCAAACCATAAAATTATTTTCGTTGCTACTTCATCATTTTGCTACTGTTATGAATCAGGTGACCCCTAAAGGGGTTGCAACCGACAGGTGTAGAACCGCTGGCTTAGACGGCCCTCTGGGAGTTCCCTAAGTTGCTTATTCAGAGTTTGTGCAGGTAGAAATCGGGGTGTGTCAAACCAGGGAGAGAGAACGGAGGGTGGGGGCTGGCAGGAACTGTGCATTCCAGGTGTCAGTCATCCCTTGACTGGTCTTTGTGGCTTTCAGGTTGAAGCTGTTTCTTGCATTTGACCTTGGCTGGACACACCCTGGCTTCCTGGATTCTTTGGGCTGCTCGCTCTGGTTGGCCAGAAAATTAGATCTGTGCAGCTCAGCGATCTCCCCATCTGCCTCAGCTTCTAGCACCGGGGCAATTACCCTTCGTGTCCTCTAGGCAGACTGATCCGTTTTAATCCTGATGGGCTGATGCCGCCCTGGTGCTCACTTTTTAAAGCTCTGTGTCTCCCTTCAGAAATAAGTAGGCGTTAGGTCTTGGCGTTAGTGGGGTCCCTGTGCCTCCCAGGGCAGAGCATCCCAACCTAAAGGGAAGACCACAGTCCCAGCGGACACGAGGCATTGGTGACTCCGTGGGGGCAGGCGCCTCTCCTGGCCAGAGGGCTCCATTCCCAGCGAATGCAGCCCTTGCACGGCCACCAGCTGGGAGTCCCTGGGAGGCTGTGTGACGCCGACCGGGTTTCAGTGGAGCTTTCAGACAAACATAGACAAGAATGATCCCCTGTGATACACAAATCAGCCAGGGAAAGCCCTGTGGATCACAATGGTCAGATCCACAGCTGGTCCCAGGGATGGTCCAGGGCTGGGCAGCCTTGAGCTCCATTGTGCATGGGTCACCAGGGACCAAGGCTGACTTAAGAGCAGCTTACAATGACAACCCCCGTGGGCCTGCCACCACCTGTGTACCAGACGTGTGTACAGTCTCTCACACTCACAATAATCTTCTAGTGTGTCGGTGCCGGATTGCATTAGTGGGGAGGAGAAGCAGGTCTGTGGGATTCGGAAGCCCACGCCCTTTCCATTAGCCGATGCCGGGTGCTGTGGGAAGCCGCATCCAAGCTGTGTAAGAAGAGGAGTCCCGAGCTGCTCAGCCACCTCTTCAGCTTCCTGTGGGGGCCACTTGTCCTCTCTGGCCTCTGCGTGCTCCTCCAGAGAGCACAAGAGGATCTCCAGGAC